CGAACGACAGAAAATCAAGGTCTCGCTTGACTCCCGTTTTGAAGAAGAGATCCCGGGCTACCAGTTCATGAAAGAAAACCAATACAATCATGTTGGAAAAATTTTACATACAATCTGGTTTTCCAAAAATCTTCTAGAAAACCTGTTTTAAAAAATCTTCTGAAACTTATTTTACTCGCGAAAACATGTTCCCAAGTCTCCTGTTTCGCATCGCGAAAACCGGAGCTCCCTAGCTGCTTTCTATCAAAGTTATGCTCTACTGAAAATAGCTGGGACATATATGTCCCACCGGCCGTCAAAGGGTTAATGTCAATGAATTTAGTCGTGAATGATTACTGGAACAAAGAACGATAGAAGAAATACTTATTAAATTTGACAGGAGTTATCGAAATCAGATACCCAGTGATAGTGCTTACGACGATTGATAGTCGTACAGTACTTCTGTTTCCGACTAATTTAAATTAGTATTTAAAAAGAATTGAATAGAAAATATTTGTTCTGTGTTGCTAGAAACCAAAAAAATACATTTTTCTACTGGTCGTTTTAAATTGTGCACTTTCTGTTGACGATCGGAAAACCTTAGAATGGGCTGGTAACATCCGTGCGTAAAGTTTTGTACCGAAGTATTTAAACTATCATCTTTTTGAAGGATTTGCTAGATCATTAGCTTTCATCATAAACTTGACTTTATTCATGGCTTATGCATGAAAATCTTATCTACAATATAATGTAAGTCATCACATTGTATGTTATTCATGCCACTATGTCATTCGTTTCATTCAAAGTTATTCAGAAGTACTAAGACTCAGTAACCACAGTAAAAATAAAGGCTATGCAAGTTTAGAGGGGAAGATGCTCAAAGTCAATATTTCCCATGTGAAGCTTAATTTGACAGCCTGATTTTGAGTAATAGAAGACGTCAATGGCAAATATCGGTTTTTCGAATATTAATTTAACGCATGTAAGTCCACCAACGTATTTTTTGTACCATTTTCCTTCTTGATCACTTTTAATTAATATTTCTTCTACATCTAACATATCGTATGCTTGATCAATCAAACTAAATCCTTGGTGTGTAGATCCAAATGAGCAATCATAAACATCCCAACCGAGGAGTGTTAAGCGACAATTAACAACACCTGGAATTAACTTTGATAGTTGCCTATAACCAGTTCCTTCTTGTTTTATTTCTGTTGGACTCTGTTTGATAGCATTATAAATAGCTTTAGCATCGACAGTATTTCCAGTATCAGTCGCATAACATTTGCTGGCAATCATTAAACTAACAAGGATTAATATGTTTTTGACCATTTTTTTCTCTGGTATATCTAAAACAATTTCAAAATCGTCTACAATGTTCATCAGGAAGGTCGAGAATCCATGCTTCGCCTACGGCTGCTTGTAGTCTCTCCTAATTTTGAAATCATGTTTATGCATAAGAAAGACATGAGATTGCTTCTTTGAAGCTGTAATTTTGCCAACGGAAAGTATTTCTTCTCTTGCTCGTCTAAAATATTAACCGATTGCTGAAGCCACAGTTTTTATGAATCTGAGACTGATTGTCTCCCTTATAACTGCCATCCCACAGCCATATCGGACTGATTATAGTTAATTAGACTTCACAGTGTGACATAGCAACAATATCTCATTACTACAAACAAACTCATATTTAGTTGTACAGAAACTTATAAAATAAAAAGAAGACTAACTGTTGAAATGCAAGTCAAATTAGAAATCCCTATCAAAAACTCTGCCTACAAAATGACCATATTTTATGTGAAAAGGACTTGCCAGCTGGAGTCGCTCCCTTACTGGAAGTAAAATTTTATTCTATTTATTTCTATCTAAATACTATTTCTTACTCCTTTATTTTCATTAGGCTGTGCTATTTATTTCCTTTTTTTGTGTTGTTGTTCTGTTATAAGGGTCCCCACTGCTGTTATTTGGCATTATTTATATAGGGTATGCAAATATGTAGGCGTTTGAAGAAAGAAGTAGTTGGTGTCTAGAAAAAAGGTAGGCGAAAGTAAATAATGTAAGTGAAACAAAATTTATCGTCTAACTTGATAACGAATCCATGTGACAAATCCCTTTTTTAAAAGTAATGCAGTTATAAGATATTTCACTAACAACAGTAGTGTGTAAACAGAATATGGAAGTGATTTGCAAATCTGTTGCTAACATACTTTGCAGAACTCAGTTATTTTAAATCATTAAACTGTTCTGTTTTGCAATATACAATTATGTTGGCTAACGAGGGATCTTTGTCTAATCGCTTTCTGGTCGTAACCTAGTGGCTTATAAGTTATCGACGGTGTTGAATCCGAATATCAACATGAGACGGCCCTTAGGCCTCCAAGGACCGGTTTTCTGGAAAATCAGTTTTACAGAAACTTTAAACAATCTCCAAAACTTTTCTTAATAAGTAATGTTTGTAGCCCGCGAGAGTCTGATCATAATGAGACATCCCCCAGCTATACACGACCTTTCTTTGCAAAGTTATAAAATTTACAAGAAAAGCCCTAAATCCTTTTTTCCTTTTTCTTTCTATATCTCTGCGCTGAGAATGAACATTTAGAGCTTTTCTTGTAAATTCTATAACTTTGGAAAGAAAAGTTGTGTAGAGCCGGAGGATATCTCATCATGATCGAAATTTCGCGGGCTAGAAACATGACTTATTAAGAAAAGTTTCGGAGATTATTTAGAGTTTCTGGAAAACCGATCTATGAAGGCCTAATGACTCGTTTCATGTTGATATTCGGATTCAGCGCGGTTGATAACCTATAACCCACTAGGTTTCGACCAGAAAGCGATTAGACAGTGGAAAAAAGTCCCTCGTAAGTGGAGCTGATACCTGGAAATCAAGCAAGAATACTTGCCACCTAAGGGATGCCATCAAAACTTTTACCGTTTGAGTCGTTTGAAAGCGCTTTCTATATTTCGGTACATTTATTCAGAGACACATAAAAAGAAAAGTAAGAAACGGTAGAGAGTGAATCAGAGATTATTTTTCTGAATAACAGCAGATAACGAAAAAGTACGATACGATGTTGACATATGAGATATACGATAGATATTGCTTCTAAGTTGCATATATGATTCTAGAGAAGGCTGTATGTAAATTAATTTTCGGCACATTGCTTACTTCACCTTTTTTTCTCCACTTTAAGTGAAACATCCTACAAATTGAATCATTCTACTTCATATGCACTTATAATGCAAATCATGAAGTTTGCTTTTCTGTTCATCTGTATTATCTAATCGCTTGTATTCCTTGTGTCTTCAAGACATTTAGCCATGCTCTCTGTACAAGAAAAAAAGGTATCTCATCGCTAGTTGTTTGTTGCTGTTTAGTATAATTGGCAGAAAATACGTCGTCGCCACTTTGGGATTGGAAGCATTTTTTTCACCTATCATTTAATTTTTTTAAAGAAAAATCTTCCTTTTGAATGTAGAAAGTGGAAAGGAATTGAGCAACAATGAGGTACCTTTTTCTCCTGTGCAGAGAGCATGGCTAAGTATCTTGAAGAAATAAGGAACACAAGCGATTAGATTATGACACATATAAACTCTACATTGCCGAACAAGCAAGTTGCTCTCACGAGAGAGCCGCTCGAACTGATTAAGTCCGTGTTCAATGATATTTCACGTATGTGCCGAGGGTATTATTTTAACAAAAATCTAAAGGAATTTGTGCCCATTTAGCTTCCTTCAGAATAATGAATTTCTTCCTTTCGCTACAGAAAGAGCCATTGTTCGATGAATTCTTTTTGTTTTACTACTCATTGATCTGATCCATCGACTACTAGGTTTTTACTGTTTCTTAGAAAAACTTATTACTGTTTTCTGCACATTTTGCAGAACTTCTTAAGCAGGTTCTCCAAGTACCTCATCGTCTTTCTCAGGATAGATACATGACTAATGGTAATCAATAGCGGTGGTTTCAAATATGATAATGAGAGCTACTCTTAGCCCTTTGAAGATCAGTTTCTGGAAAGTCAGGTCCCGGGTTCAAAATCTTTTTGTTCCGAATTTCATTTTGAACTAACCAGTTTGTAAGCGCAAGTTCAGTCACCAACGTTCAGAAAAACGTTTTATGACTATTCGATGAATATTGACTGAGTTACATGCAATTAAATTTGAGTTACGGCTGAGACATGGAGCACGTCAGAAAAAACTCAAAATCCAATTAACAAATTTGCTGTCCATCACAGTTAGCAGTGAATGGCCGTGGAGAATATGCATTTATAAAATGAAGTTACTGGGAGAAAATTCTATGCTTGAACTGCTTGCCCTAGTGAAACTTCTTGTATCCTAGATCTTGGCGATGATCTTGGGTGACGAAATGTCACAAGATCTTGGAAAAAACACCACGAAGTCAAGATCCTGGATTCTTGAATCTTTCACTCAAGATCTTGAAACGTCTTGGCTTACTCCGCTCAAGATCTTGGGAACAGAAATTTCAACATTTTGAGTGAATCCACTCAAGACGTTGCAAGAGCCTAAGTGTAAAATATTTTTTACATCTTGTTTTTATTTATGGCAGTCGTAACCATCGCATATATGACCATATAAAATGATAGATTCTGCCTTAAACAACTACGGTCAAGAAGGAAAAAAGTTCCAAGTTATCCTAAGTGTGAAAATATTTGCACTTATATTTCCACAAGAGCGTAAAACAGAAGAATGATTTAAGAATACCCAAGATCTTGGTATGAGAAGTCAAGAAATAGAAAATGTTCAAGATCTTGACTTCCTGAAATTTCTTGTACTATTACATTTTCCTACCAAGATCTTGAATCAAGATCTTACCGAAAAAATTCAAGAAGTCGAGATCTTCGTTACGAAAAGTTTCACTAGGATGGTGACCCGTTAATTAGTTAGGATTCGACGTGTCGAGAAAACGAAATGTTCTCCTTTTCTACGTAAAAAGGAGTAGAATGACAAACATCCTGTAAGTTTCCAGAGTTGAAAGAATGAATGAGTCTGACTTTTCTTACTACAGAAAACTGTAGCAGACAAATCAATAATCCCTCTTATAGACTTTATTTGTTCCACCAAACAAAACTAATTTTAATTGTATGTACAAAAAATGAGAACAAAAATATTTAATCGACCCTGGCAGGGATCGAACCTGCAATCTCCTGATTCGAAGTCAGACGCCTTATCCGTTAGGCCACAGGGCCACAGTACTCATATCGTAATTTCAGCACAAAAATCATTTGAATACAGACAGGGTATTGAAAGAACGAGCGCAAATAGATCCTGATTGTAGTATCGTGGGTGTAACCACAATAAATATTCAGCATTGAGCAACTAAATCCTGTACCGTAAAGCCATCATCGTATCTAAAACAATCGTTTTTAGTTGCGCATCTATATATCATAGAAACATTTGTTTGAAATGAAGGAATATCCTTTGTTTGACTCAACGTATACTATGAGCCCTGATGTCTTGTATTATGAGTAGAGTCCAGGAAGAAGTAAACTCGTGTTGTTACTCCAGTCACCGCTAGTTCAAAATTTACGATAGAGCAACCTTCATAGAAAGTAGAATTTTGAGTGCCAATTGTTCATACTTGATCATTTTTACGTCGTCCGAATGCTGTAATTACGACCGTAAAATGACTCCTACAGTTGATTCAGCAGATGGTATCGTTTTACCGTCGTAATTATCGAATGGGATAAAAATGACTAACATATGTTTCACAAATGAGGTAAAACGGATTAGCGAAAACCAGCATTTATCGACTATCCAATTAATCATCTAAAAATGGTCCATTAATGTCTGAAAAACGACACAAAAATGATCATTATTGAATGATCATTAAATGATCGTTTTTACCTCGTAAAAAACGGTCTAAGTACGACCAAATACAGGGTGCCACTAAATAAACGGAACACCTACATCTATCTTGTTTTAAACGCTTTTTCTCTACAAATTTTTATTCAAAACCTAGCAAAACAACAGAAACAACAATAAATAAAAAGATTTATTCA